TGAAGCGCTCCTATTTTAGGTCGTTGTTTGTGGCATTGCCCGATTAATAGTTGTTGGCAGTCGGCTGCTTCAGCGTGTGACCTGAAGAGGCATTTAGCAATGCACCAGTTCCATGCTCATGCTCAGTTCGTTGGACTGTTGCTTATCGCTGCAAAAAAGGATTTTGTCGATCTTGAGAGGTATGATCTCTGCGGTATATCGATAAAGTAAGTGTCATTTCACTACAACTTTCAGCTGCGGTTTCCCGTCCTCTCTCGACATCACATATTCGGGAGAAGTTACATATTGTCTTTGGGACAATTGTCATGTATACGTTTTTGATGGCATTATTTTCCCTTCGTTACGTTTTCTTTCTAGCATGATTTTTCGGATCCTCTGGACTTGTTTACTCACGTCATGATGCATGTCGACTTCCTCGGTAGCGACGACAAAGTTAAGGACGACAACTTTCGATCAGCAGCACAATTCAAATGTTCTTGGGAAAATTGCTTCCGACACTTTGAGTCTAAAGGAGATTTGAGGCTCGTTCTGCAAAGTTTGCTTTTTTTAACATCGAGAATCATATTCTGTTTGGAGCTATGCCTTCCTATGTAGGGAAAAAAGGATACTGATTTATCGAATTGGCATTCAAAATGGATACTTGAAGCGGTTTAGGGGGTTGATTTTTTAATGCCTCCCGTTATTTTCATTCTTAGGAGAAGTTGAATCCAATGATTAAGACGCTATAACTAACCTTCTTTCAGCTAATTATATGAAGTTGGCTCAATAGATTTCCATTATTAGTTGAATTTTGTAGCATTACTTGAGACTTGGGTACGCATCTGACTAAGTACCGCATCGTAATTTATGGAGACCAGATTCGTAAGATCTGGACCGTATCTACCGTAGGATTAGATGCACTCTGGAATTGAAAATAGCTTGAAATAACAGCAGAACGCAGGATAGGAATACATAGATTGCTTCCTGGGCACTGGCTTTGAAAATGAGCTTCTTCTTAATAACGCTGGTT